TTTTCCATTTACTCGATTATTGCATTATCCTTACGAACACCTCACCCTTCAACTCCCTCCCCAAAAAACCCAATCTACACGATCTTTAAGTCAAGACAAAAGGTTTATATACTATACTATAGTATGTATATATATATTTATTTATTTATTTATTTTTTTGAGACGAGTCTCGCTCTGTTGCCAGGCTGGAGTTGAGTGGCACAATCTCAGCTCACTGCAACCTCTGCCCTCCCCTGGGCTCGACACGCCATTCTGACTGCCTCAGTCACCTGAGCGCTGGACCTCACAGGTGCGTGCCACCATGCCAGCTCATTTTTTTTTGTATTTTTAGTAGAGATGGGGTTTTCACCATGTTAGCCCAGGATGGTCTCGATCTCCTGACCTCGTGATCCACCCACCTCGGCTCCCCAAAGTGCTGGGATTACAGGCGGTGAAGCCACCACGTCCGGCCTCAATATTTTTTTAAATTGATTCATTCAAATATTTATTGAGCAGCTAAGGAGATACAAAGGCAATTTAAAACATTGTCAGAGGTGAGGCAAATGCACAAGTAATAGAAAGCAAAGGGCAAGGTTCACTGAACCACAGCGGTCAGAAGAAAGTGCTTTAGGGAACCAAGAGTGAGATTGTTTCCAGCCTGAAGAGGCATGGGTGGCAAATCAGAAAAGGGGATTGAGATTAAACTAGAAGACTTCAGTCTGGATTGTTGATGACACTCAGCATGGACTATATTTGTCTCTCCTTTTCCTTTCTCCCCACCTTTGGGCTTAATTTACATGTAGTGCCCAGGGCTGTTCAATGTGCTTTTTCTACACTTGCTTGCATTTTTGCTTTAACGTCTTCTACAGAACTAGGTCCTTTTGGTGTTTTAGGAGTTTTTTTCCTGTTTTTTTTTGAAGGATTCTTGTCCTTTTGATCTTGGTGTTGATGATGGTTTTGAGTCTTTTCCATTCTGATTTGACTTTTGTGCATTTTTGGCTGGAGTATCTAGTATAGATTTCTTCACTGGTGCTTTTTCTTCAGCTTCCTCATCATCAAAATCATCATCATCATCTTCATCATCATCATCATCATCTTCATCAGCAGCAAGTTTTACTTTTTTCTGTGGAACCTTGCTTCCACCTCCAGTAGCAGATCGCTTTCCAGATACACTTAAGTGTTTCACGTCCTCCTCCTCTTCATCTTCTGACTCTGCATCTTCCTCCACAGCTACTAAGTGCTGTCCACTAATATGCACTAGCCCTGAACCACACTTCAACCTTAAGACCACTGGGGGGTTATTTCAAAGCCCCCAAGGGAAACCGTTGGCTGTACAGACATTTTCAAAGTTGCCAGTGTTACTTTAATTGGACTGCCTTCGTAATTCATTGCCTCTGCTTCAACAACGTGCAATTCATCCTTTGCACCAGCCCCTAAACTGACCGTTCTTAAAGATAACTGGTGCTTATTTTTGTCATTATCCACCTTAAAGTGATCATCTTTGTCGGCCTTTAGTTCACAACCGAAAAGATAGTTCTGGGGCCTCAGGGGGCTCATGTCCATGTCCATCGAATCTTCCATCAGGAGGCGGCACGCACTTAGGTGGGAGAGAAAGCGGACGGAGATAAACGAACGCTGCTCCAGAGAACAGCCGCGCGGGACGGCATCACACCAGGGCTAAATATTTTAAAATAATTAAAAAGAAATAAAATTCACATTTAAAAAGGAAGACTCAAGTCAGGAAATAATTTCCCATCATGCTTTTCTGTGAACAGGTGTCTGAACCAAAACCCTGCCAAAGCCATGAGTGCTTCAAGTTTAATGAAAGTTGATCCCCATGATAATAGAGTGATGACTCTAACAGATGTGCTGGGGTTTTTGTTCTACTTAATTTTAAATTCCTGAAATGGGGGAGAGGGGAGGGAGTTCCGGAATTTATTTATATTAAAATACAGAAGTTATTGCAAAACCCTAACAGTAAAAACGCACCAATATAATCAGACTTTGCATACAGTAGCTAAGAAAATTCAAACATTTCAGTGAAACAGTGAATTTGCCTGGTAGAACGCTGACAAATTCCCATCTACTTGCCCTCTTGAAAATAAAAACCAAATTCAAAACAAATCATACAGCTAGAATTTTGACATCTGAAATATTTTTAAATAAGTTGTCCATAGGCCAACTGGCTCAGCTCTCCCTTATATTATTATCTCCAGGTTTATCTTTTCTCAAAGATGTTGGTTTGTTAAGACTTGCTGCCTCTCTCCCCCACGCACGAGGGCAAGCGAGGCTCAGTTTATCCATTTTTCCAAACCACACTGTTCCTTTTCACAGAACTCTGCCCTTTGAGACTGGCTAAAACTCGTAGTCTTCATCAACCATGTCAATGGCAGGCAAATTTTCCCACTGGGTTTTGTTGTAAATCTTCTCAACTGGGACGCCCGGAAGACGGAGGATTTCTTGAGCCCGGGAGGTTGAGGTGGCAGTGAGTGGAGATTGCATTGTTGCACTCCAGCCTGGGCAAAAGAGACAGACCCTGTCTCAAAACACACACACACACACATACCCACACACACACAGCAAGGCCAAAAAGAATGACAGAAACCTGGAATAGGCCAGGTGTGGTGGCGCACTTTGGGAGGCAGCAGTTTGGGAGGCAGAGGCGGGTGGATCACGAGGTCAGGAGTTCGAGACCAGCTTGGCCAATGTGGTGAAACCCCGTCTCTACAAAAAATACAAAAATTAGCCAGGTGTGGTGACGCGCGCCTGTAGTCCCAGCTACTGAGGAGGCTGAGAGAAGAGAATGGTGTGAACCCAGGAGGTGGTGCTTGCAGTGAGCGGAGATGGTGCCACTGCACCACTCCAGCATGGGAGACAGAGTGAGACTCCGTCTCAAAAAAAAAAAAAGAAAAGAAAAGAAAAGAAAAGAAACCTGGAATAAATAGATGATAAAAGGGATACAAGAGATAAGGTTTTTAAAATTTTATTTATATTTATTTTTATTTTTAAGAAATACTGGAAAGCTTACCCATGACAGTGGATCCACTTGTAGAGATCTGTGCTTATGAGATGAGTAAGGGTGCATCTAGGTTTGAGTCCATGGACGGTCATAGCAGCTGCATTTAGTTACACAGGCCACACCAGGGAGTTGGTTAAAGCTACTAAGTGGTAATGGCTGCATCCTGGGGCTCCAAGTGCACATCATTTTGTAAGGGCACCTGGCAGGTAAATCCGGGAATGGTTAATGGGTGAGACATGGTGAGGCAGGAAGGCAGGGCGAGCTGGCCCCACTCCCATCCCTGGGAGACTTGGCGGCATCTCTGAGCCCGCCAGGTGCAGTTCATCGTGGCCTCTTTGGGCCGGACGGAGGCGGCGCCAGAAGAGGCCGGGACCCCAGGGTTGAAATTGAATTGAGGCGGGGGCGATGCCTGCCTTCCTGAGTGTGCGGCACGTCTTGCTCGGGAGGCTGGGCTGGTCAGTCTGTTTCCCCAGGCCCTTTTAGTGACCGGTGCGGCGTACGGGACTGCGTGCCCAGAAAGGCAGGAGGCTCTCCCTCTTGGAAAGGGGCTTTGCGCCTCTGACCCCGCGGAGATCAGCGCCGGCACGCTGCGGGGTTGGTACCAGGGACTCGAGGCCATACAGCGCCAGTGCGTAGCGCACAGATCACCCTAATTCTTGTGGAAGGAGGGCAGGTGAGCTGTGGGAGCAGAGTCCAAAGGGCCCAGGCCAGAGATGGGTGGGCAGAGGACCCACTCAGGATGCGGGAGCTCAGGTTTAAGTGTAGGGTGGGAGGGCCTGGGGGCACCTGGGCTCCTTGCTGTGCTTGTGGCGATGCCTGGGAGGTGAGAAGAACCCATTACTCACCCGACTCATACAGACAAGTGTAGTAACCCCCCGTGTCTTGTGAGTCTGTGTGTGGAAGATAACCATAGTTTCCTTAAATTTCTAGAAAAGTTTGGCCGGGTGCGGTGGTTCACACCTGTAATCCCAGCATTTTGAGAGGTTGAGGCGGGTGGATCACCTGAGGTCAGGAGATAGCGACCAGCCTGGCCAACATGGTGAAACCCCGTCTCTACTAAAAATACAAAAATTAGGCCAGGCGTAGTGACGTGAGCCTGTAATCCCAGCTACTCAGGAGGCCGAGGCAGGAGAATCGCTTGAGCCTGGGAGGTGGAGATTACAATGAGCCAAGATTTCACTACTGTGCTCCAGCCTGAGCAACAGAGTGAGACTGTGTCTCAAAACAAAAAACTAGCTGGGTGCGGTGGTGCGTGCCTGTAATCCCAGCTACTCAGGAGACTGAGGCAGGAGAATTTCTTGAGCCAGGGAGGCAGAGGTTGCAGTGAGCCAAGATTGCACCATTACACTTCAGCCTGGGCGACAGAGCAAGACCCTGTCTCAAAAAAAGTTTTACTAGGTCTCCTGTCTTTTATTACAGGATGCTTCTCTGCTGACTCGGGGCAATCAGTCTTTTTGGTGTCATAGGAGAATGTGTGTCGTTAGTAATCAGATGCTTTATTGAAAGTAATAGTCACATAGGAAGAAAAACGTTACCAGTTGCTATGGTTTGGATATGGCTTGTCCCCACAAAAGCTCAGGCTGAAATTTGATCCCCAATGTGGCAGCATTGGAAAGTGGGGCCTACTGGGAGGTGTGTGGGTCCTGGGAGTGGAATCCTTAAGAACAGGTTAATTCCCTGCCTTGGAGGTGAGTTGGATTAGTGCCTGCCTGAGCTGGTTGTTAGGGTCCAACTTCCTCAGTTTTTCTTGTTTCACTTCTTGCCACGTGGTCTTTGTCCACACCTCTTCCCCACTTTTGCTTTCTACCATGAGTTGAAGCAGCATGAGACCCTCACCAGATGGGCTGCCCAGTCTTGGACTTTCCAGTCACCAGAATGATGAGCCAAACACACCTCTTCCTTTATAAATTACCCAGCCTCAGATATTCTGTTGTAGCAGCACTGAAAAGAGTAAGACACCAGGCAACTCCACACAGATGTCTAATATAACTGTGTTCTTCAGAGTCATCACCTTCAGGACCACAATGCCGGGTAGGGCCAGGACTCGCGCCCGAGGCAGAGCCCGCCGCAGGGAGAGCTACCAACAAGAGGCACCTGGCGGACCCGGAGCACCTGGATCAGCTACAGTGAGCCCTGTAACGTTCATTGTTTTCTTTCTGCAAGAGATACGTGCCTGTACTGAAAAGAACATAGAATTGGTGGTTGAGCCGAGCTAGTTCAGGTATAGTGCTAAGTGAGGACTAATAAAAGTTCGTAAGAAAAGTCAGGCTCTATAGATGGCAGCATGGGGAGGCTTTACTCGGATGTACTCTCTACCGCTTCCTTCTCACATTTTCACATGTGCAAGTAGACTGACTTTCAGCCAAAAGTGGATGCAAAGGTTTCTAGATCTCTTGGCTTCAGCCAGTGTCTCCTCTTTGGAAGTGACCCAGAATGAGCAACTTCCTGAATGTCCTGGCACAGCGTGAGTTAGACAGAATTTCCAGTCGTGTTGAAAACTTGTTATGCCTGCTCTGTTTTGTCTTCTCTTACTGCATATCCACTTTGCATTCACACAATAGGATCCATACTGGCACAGAGGGGCCCCACCTGACAACCTCCAGGGCAACCCTATACTGCATGGAAGCAGCATGACGCCCTCCAGGTCCACTTATTCTGCTGTGTGATTGTTGCTCCTCTCTCCTTCTCCTGAGCCCTCCAACCTCAATTCCTCCTCCTGGTCCTAATTCTCAATTTTCAACATCGACTTCTGTGTCACTGAGACAAAGCACCCAGTGAGAGTGTCAGTGGCTCCCCGTCTTGTCTCCTCACTCATGAGCCATAGTCCAACCCCTCACCGGAGATCCTAGGGCACCATCTTTGTTCCTACGTAAAGCAAATCTCTCTACTTAGCCCCTTAGCCAGTCCTCTGTCTAGGGCATGTCTCCTGCAACTTTCCTTTCTGTCTCCCAAGTCAGCAGATGTGTTCTCCTAAATCACTCCCATCGTCTACAGACTCACTGAGTTCACTCCCATTCATCAGGAAACCTTCCCTGGGCCCTTCCACTCTGCCAGATTCACAGGGCAGCTCTCCTCAGACTTGCCCCTTCACATTTCCTCGGCACATTTGCGACCTCTTTTCTCCTGATCAACTCCCTCCGCTTGGCGTTTAGGTTACCTCCTTCATCACTGACCGCCCGTACTTGCTCTCCTTTGCGGAGTTCTCCTCTATGGCCTCTTGATATTGCCAAGACCCAGCCCTTGAGCCACATCTTTTTTCTCCATATTCTCACTCCCTTGGTGAAGTTATCCAGTGTCCAAATGCTATCTGGTGTGTGGACAGATCCCCATATTTATCTCCTTGGCCAGAACCTCTCCTGCACCACCCAGCACCCCCACGGGTGTCCACGGACACCTCACACTCCCAACCCGCCCTATCATGCCATATCCACCTCATCAGAAGGACTTCCATTCTTCTGTTTGCTCAGGCCAAAAGTCTATGGTTTCATCCTATCTCCATGACCTCAAGCCCTTCTCAAAAACAACCACAGGGTTTTTCTCTCCAAATTTTTTTTTTTTTTTTTAAAGACAGTTTCATTCTTGTTGCCCAGGCTGGAGTGCAATGGTGTGATCTCAGCTCACTGCAACCTCTTGCCTCCTGGGTTCAAGTGATTCTCCTGCCTCAGCCTCCCGAGTAGCTGGGATTACAGGCATGCACCACCAGGCCCAGCTAATTTTGTATTTTTAGTAGAGATGGGGTTTCTCCATGTTGCCAGGCTGGTCTCGAACTCCCGACCTCAGGTGATCCGCCCACCTCAGCCTCCCAAAGTGCTGGGATTATAGGCATGAACCACCGCACCTGGCCTCTGTCACAGCTCTCATTTTATCAGTCAGAAGCAATTTCCTTAAAATGACCTTCCCTTCGTCTCACTGACATCTCTCTCCGTTTCCTTCTTCCAGCCATACTGGCTGCCTCATTCTTCCTTGAACATTCCCAGCTGCAGAACTCTGCTCTTTTTCCTTCACCTCTGGCTTGGGTAACTTTGCTAATTCACTCAGCACTTCCAAGTCTTGGGTTCAATGTCACTTTCTCACTGAGGCCCTCCTTTGCCCTCATCAGCTAGTGAAACCTGCCCCTTCACACCCCACCTTCCCAATAATTTTTCTCCTCGGTTTGTTTTGTTCTTTTTTTGTTTGTTTCCTTAGCAATTACCACACAAGGTGCTATGTATGTTGCTTATTACAACTTAGTTTCTGTCACTGGAATGTGAGCTTTGCAGAGGAAGTTCCTTTGCCTTGTGCCCTGAGAGTGCCATTTGGAGGGAGAATGAACATAGTAGGGTACTGTTCTTTATTTCTATTTCCAAAAACATGCAGATCCAGGAGCCCACTCAGTTGCAGCGGACACCCAGGCCACTGCGGGAGGAAGTCCCAGTGGTTAGACCTGTGCAGCCAAGAGGAGCAGGAGGAGCAGCACAGTCTCAAGGTGAAAGGAGGCAAGGAGGACATGAGGGGCAGGGGATGCTTCATGTGTGAAGGGCCACCACAGCAGTAGAAGGTTCTAGACAGAGCCTCAGGACCCCTGTGAGGTTTGGTGGGATGGGAAGTGTGTGCAGCTTGCAACTGTCTCTCTTCGTGCAGTGAATTATCTGATGGTGTTTTCTTCACCTGTGTCTTGTGGAAGAGAAATGGAAGTCACTGTTTATTGGCCAGATCAACATAATTGCTTTTCAAATTTAGATGACACATTTGCAGATGATAACTCTAAGTTAACTTAATGGAATTCTAAGAACACCATTTTCTTGCCTTTTTAAATTGTGGCATTAACAGGTTGAACCTGTTACCTACATTGCAGGCTGACAGGTTATCCTCATTTATACAAGCGCTCATGCACACAGGCTCAGATATTGTCATTTGCTAAGGATTTGGCTAATGTAATTCAACTTTAGTCTGGATTCTCCACTTTGCTTTCCTTTTTTTTGAGACGGAGTCTCGCTCTGTCACCCAGGCTGGAGTGCAGTGGCCGGATCTCAGCTCACTGCAAGCTCCGCCTCCCGGGTTTACCCCTTTCTCCTGCCTCAGCCTCCCGAGTAGCTGGGACTACAGGCACTCACCATATCGCCCGGCTAGTTTTTTGCATTTTTTAGTAGAGATGGGGTTTCACCGTGTTAGCCCGCCCATCTCGGCCTCCCAAAGTACTGGGATTACAGGCTTGAGCCACCGCGCCCGGCCTCCACTTTGCTTTCCATAGCAAAATAGCTTGTGATGAGTCAAAACTTGAAACACTAAAAAATTCTATTATAGATAAATATTAAACCAAAACAAAATCCAGAACCTATAAAATGAGCTTATATATTTGAATACATAAAATTAAAACATGTTTAATAATCAGATCCCATCTGAAGGGTTGTTATTAAATAGTATGTATAAATTACATGGACTGGGCGTGGTGGCTCATACCAGCACTTTGGGCAGCCCAGGTGGGTGGATCACTTGAGGCCAGAAGTTTGAGACCAGCCTGGCCAACAGGCAAAATCCCATCTCTACTAAAAAGACAAGTTAGCCAGGCATGGTGGCATGTGCCTGTAGTCCCAACTACTCAGGAGACTGAGGCAGGAGAATCGCTTGAACCCAGGAGGCAGAGGTTCCAGTGAGCTGAGATGGTGCCACTGCACTCCAGCCTGGGTGACAGAGTGAGATTCCGTCTCAAAAAATAGAAGTACATGGTTTGTAGTGAGTGCCAAGGTGCCAAGCTAGGATAACCTGTTTTCTTCTGCTGACATTTTAATATGATGAATTTGATTGCTGGATGTGTCAGGAACTAGTTGGGAGTTTGATAAAATTGTTTCAAATTTTATGTGTAAAATGTAGTTAGTCATAGAAATGGAGACACTTTGTAAGATCATCATAAACTAAAAAATAGCCTCCAGAAGTAAAATTTTGAGGAAAACCATTGTTGTAACCCAAGGCACAAACGTCCTGGCCATTCAGGGGTACAGGATTTACAACAATGTGTGCATATTCCTTCAGGATGCCTCTCTTGTCACTGAAAGACTGCGTTGTGCTGTCATTTAAATGTTAACTTTGTAGAATACCTACATCAATATGGACCTTAGAATGGAAGTTAAAATAGTGTGATCCTTTCCTAGTTGCTCTTAATAGAAAGGATAGATCAGTTTTGTGTTAAAAGCCAGTTTTATAGATTTTTTAAATGATTGGCTTATTTGGCATTTTATGATGCCCACTAGGGGGCAGTGTAGTGCCAGGAGATAGGCTTAGAGACAGAGTCAGAACCAAGGTTTCTAGAATCTTGTACCATGAACAAATACACAAAGAAATGGGGCAAATATGTAGCAGGAATGAATAAAGTGCTGAGGCAACCACGGATGTGAACTGGGGACTCCTTGGGAAAGGTTTCTGGGTAAGATTACGCTTTTGTGGCAACACATCACCGAAATGTGTTTTGGAACCTTGGGTGGCATCTTTTTAACCTCCAACAAACTTATGCTGGGCGTTAATACTGTCTTTTCTATTCTTCCCTTTTTATTGTTTAAACTTCTGGCATTTACATTTACGCAGGAGTGAAGGAACCTGGACCTGAGGCTGGGTTGCATACAGCGCCCTTGCAGGAGAGGAGGATCGGTGGAGTTTTTCAGGACCTGGTGGTGAACACCAGGCGATATATGATGCATGTTAAAGACTCAAAAACAGGTATGTTGGCCTAGAACTCAATGTTTATGGAGCTGTTGGTTTTTAACTTTTTTTTTTTTCATTGAGAGACAAGGTCCTGCTGTGTCGCCCAGGCTGCAGTACAGTGATGTTCACTTCAGCCTTGAACTCCTGGGCTCAGCTGTTCCTCCCACCTCGAGTAGCTGGGACTACAGGTGGGCACCACCATGCCCAAATAGACGTATATATAATTTAATTTTGCAGAGACAGGGTCTTGCTGGTCTAGAACTACTGGCCCAAGCCATCCTCTCACCTGGGCCCTCCAAACTGCTGAGATTACAGGAATGAGCCACCACACCTGGCCCATTTTAAACTTTTGATAAAAGCTTTGTTTAATAAATTCTGGAAAGCTTTCTGTCATCACTGTAAGTAGAGGTGTCTCCCACCTGGCCCAGTCTGGTCTGGAACTCCTGGCCCAACCCATCCTCCCACCTGGCCCAGGCTGGTCTGGAACTCCTGGCCCAACCCATCTCACCTGGCCCAGGCTGGTCTGGAACTCCTGGCCCAACCCATCCTCCCACCTGGCCCAGGCTGGTCTGGAACTCCTGGCCCAACCCATCCTCCCACCTGGGCCTCCCAAAGGGCTAGGATTATAGGTGTAAGCCACCATGCCCTGGTCTGTGCTGAGACTTTTTAAAAAATTACATAAGGTGGCACCTTTTCTCCTTTTGTAAACCACAAATGTTGTAATTTTTAATCTATTGTTCAATATATTAAACTTCCTAAATGTATGCTTGCATAAGGGCTCACTGAAATTGATAGGCATTCTGGACATAGGTACATTACAAATGTTATTTATTTCCTTGTCTGACCTAACTTTGGCTTTTTTTTTTTTTTTTTTTTTGAGATGAGTTTAGCTCTTCTTGCCCAGGCTAGAGGGCAGTGGTGTGATCTCAGCTCACTACAGCCTCTGCCTCCTGGGTTCAGTGATTCTCCTGCCTCAGCCTCCCAAGAAGCTTGGATTATAGGCACCCGCCACTGTACCCAGCTAATTTTTTGTATTTTTAATAGAGACAGAGTCACCATGTTGGCCAGACTGGTCTGGAACTCCTGATCTCAGATGATCCTCCTGCCTCGGCCTCTGAGTGTTGGGATTATAGGCGTGAGGCACTGTGCCCAGCCCTAACTTTGGCTTTTAATATTGTAGTGTCCAAACTGTTTGGGCCCAATCAGTCTGTTTCTTTATAGTCACATGGCTCAATTTTTCAGGTTCAGAGGGTACAGTGGTACAGCTACTCGCCAACCACTTCCGAGTGATTTCTCGTCCTCAGTGGGTTGCATATAAATACAACGTTGACTACAGACCAGATATAGAAGATGGAAATCTCCGTACAATTTTACTTGATCAACATAGAAGGAAATTTGGAGAGTGCCATATATTTGATGGAAACTCTTTGTTGTTATCTCGGCCACTAAAAGAGCGGGTTAAGTAATGTTATTTCACATTTTCCTGTGTTCTTTCTCTTGTTTTTACTTTATTATAATAAAATACCTATTTTTGTGCAGTTGTTTGTTGAGACGCCCCAAAGATTTCTTGCCCATATGACTTGTAGTGAAACCTACGTGCCATGTTTGGTTATCACTGATATTCAATAATGCCTCTGATTTTAACGCTTAAATGAAATTTAATAGCACAACGTGGCTCACAAATGCTGACAAAGTTTTAGATCCTTTTTTTTTTTAAATTCTATTTGTTTCCTTTGAAACTTCAGCCCCCTACTCCTAGCAGAAAAAAAAATTAGAGAACTTATTTTCTTCTATAAATTTCTATATTAACTGAACAATTAAATTTCAGGAGCTTAAGTAAAATATTTCAACTTAAGTGTTTAATTCCAACTCTTCACTCTTGCGACTCATGTTTTCTACATGCACGTACTTCTGTGGGAAAGACTGCTCCATCACGATGGTGTTGGATAGCCAGGTGACATGGTGACTTGCCATGCAGGCAAGCTGAGTTTTTTGGAAGAATATCTGGACTTTTTGTTTTTAATCTCAGAGAGTGGAATGGTTGAGCATGACCAAAGACAAAAAATTTGTGAAGATTACAGTTGAGTTTTCCAAAGAAATCAGGCCCACGTCGCCAGATTGCCTACGCTATTACAACATTCTCTTTAGAAGGTATGTGACTGGGGTTGAGTTTCTTTGCTATTCATTCGGTTGTTTCACTGTGTAGTGGTGTGGAACATGGCCATTTGCTTCCAGCACTTTGTGTTCTTCATAGTCCTCGTGTATTAAGAGAGTGAAGGGTCTTGGAGACGAAATGATACTTGAGGCTCAACTAGCATATGCAAGTTCATGGCTTATCCTCAATGCTCTCCTCCTGGCCTATCCCTGCTCTTTGTCTCATACCTGCCTAGAAAGTAATAGACATCAGCTATGCACATCTGTGTATGTCTCTGTAGGATATACATGTTTTATTCTGTGGTCACTACGATGACTAAATATTGAAAGGTAAAATTTGAAAGGCAGAGTTTGAGGCCGGGCATGGTGGCTCACGCCTGTAATCCCAGCACTTTGGGAGGCTGAGGCGGGTGGATCATTTGAGGTCAGGAGTCCCAGACCAGCCTGGCCAATATGGTGAAACCCTGCCGCTACTAAAAATACAAAAATTAGCCAGGCATGGTGGCAGGTGCTTCCGAGAGGAAGCTACTTGGGAGGCTGAGGCAGGAGGATCACTTGGTCCCAGGAGGTGGAAGTTGCAGTGAGCAGAGATTGTGCCACTGCACTCCAGCCTGGGTGACAGAGCAAGACTCTGTCTCAAAAAAAAGGCACAGTTTGAAAAAGAGGCCTTAGTTCAGTTTTGAGAATGAAGAACATTTTGATAACCTTTCTATAATATTGTGTTTATAAGGAGACAGAACAATTGAGGTTAAATGAACCTTAATATCCGCCTCATAATGTAACTTAGTTATCAGGTACTTTGTGTTCATTGATAATATAAACAGTCACGGGCAGATTTTTTTCTTTCCCTTATGTGTCTTACCAAATGCTTAATGATGTAGCTTAATGATGTACCTGCTACTTTCAACAAAATCTATTCTTCCCATTTCTAGAACTTTCAAGCTGCTGGATTTTGAGCAAGTTGGTCGCAACTATTATACCAAAAAGAAGGCAATTCAGTTGTACCGTCATGGGTTTGTATAAAGTAGAAAATTTAATATTCTGCAGACTTCAGCATAGGATTTTTTGAGAAAGTTATTCATTTCACATCTGAAGTGGTATGCCTTAAAAGTGATGGCCTTTTAAATAATATTCACTAACCATGAACAATTTAGTATAATGTCAACTCAAAGTAAGGGTCACTTTAAAAATCTTAGCATGATAAATATAAACCTTGAGGTATTCAGTTGTTGCATATACATTGTTAAGCCTAAACAATCATCCAAAATGGGTAATTTGTCTTTGAAAATATCTTCAACCATAGCAACTATATCTCTCTATATTACTCACGGGTATATGTGTATATTACATGTAAGTTATGTTACAGATAAATATGGATGTAATACTTTAAGCCTGTGGGTGATAAAAAATAGTTTAACAAAAAATGGTATAAATAGCACATCCAATAAATGTTTATCTGAAAGTCCTTCAAAAGACTAAGAACAAATACTTAAAACTGACTCTTAAGTACCAATTTTTAGACCCAGAGCCCAGAAGCCCTTGACTTTATGTGAAGAGCTCGGACTTAATACTCTCATGTAATTTATTCTAGTACCAGTTTGGAAATCTGGCTTGGTTATGTGACTTCTATTCTTCAATACGAAAACGGCATTACCCTCTGTGCCGATGTGAGCCACAAACTGCTCCGAATAGAAACTGCTTATGATTTCATAAAGAGAACATCTGCCGAGGCCCAGACAGGAAACATCCGAGAGGAAGTAACTAATAAATTAATTGGATCAATTGTTCTGACAAAGTAAGTCTGTCTTTTAAAAACCTATCCAATCACTTTAACTTCCCCCCTACCCCCTCCCAAGAGATGGTCCTATAGTTCTCTGATCACTAAGTATTGAAGTTCAGGAGTAGAAATGGCAAGAACAACTGGTCACGTCTCTCCTCTGGTTATACAACTTGGGAGAAGAATGTGTCAATTAGAGACCTCACTCTCTTGTAATCCCTAATGCCAGTCCATTTGTTCTGAACCCTACCTTGCACTTAACACTAAGCTGTTTCTGAATTTCTTTCCTTTTCCTCTTCGTTGTAGGCATTTAGCTAGTTTGAAAACCGGTGCTTAGTTATAATCCATCAGCCATTTCCCATTTGAAGGAAGTTTTAAAATCTTTCTACAACAGAAATCTTAAATTGATGAGAGAATGGATTTAAAGAACCAGTTAGTTAGCCAACACAATCTTACATGGACACAATTGGAGGACTCGCACTTCTCAATTTTAAAACTTACCAGAAAGCTCTAGTAATCAAGACAGTGTGATGTTGACCTAATGATAGACGGAGACCAATGAAATAAAGTCCAGAAGGTTAACCCTCCACTTAGTTGACTTTTGACAAGTATGTCAGTGCAATTCAAAAGAGGAAAGAATAATCTTTTCAATCATGTTGCTGGGACAACTGAATATCCACCTGCTTCTTCCTCATGCAGGTCACACAATTCCAATTTAATTCAAAAACCAACTCAGGGCCGGGCGCGGTGGCTCAAGCCTGTAATCCCAGCACTTTGGGAGGCCGAGACGGGCGGATCACGAGGTCAGGAGATCGAGACCATCCTGGCTAACACGGTGAAACCCAGTCTCTACTAAAAAATACAAAAAACTAGCCGGGCGCGGTGGCAGGCGCCTGTAGTCCCAACTACTCGGGAGGCTGAGGCAGGAGAATGGCGTGAACCCGGGAGGCGGAGCTTGCAGTGAGCTGAGATCCGGCCACTGCACTCCAGCCTGGGCGGCAGAGCGAGACTCCGTCTCAAAAAAAACAAACAAACAAACAAACAAACAAAAAAAAACAAAAACCAACTCAGTAGATCTAGATTTAAGAACTAAAAGCACAACATTCTTAGAAAATATAGGACTGAATCTTTTTGACTTTGAGCTAGGCAAAAACTTAGATAAGCCACTCAAAGCAGAAGTGATAACAAAAGAAACATAGATACACTGGACTTCACCAAATTAAAAACTTAAACGATACTATCAAAATTGTGAAAACACAACTGGAAAAAGTGGGGAAAATGTTTGCAAATCACATAAGTAACCTGTATCTAGAATATATAAACAATACTTAATCGAGAGACAACATACTTTTTTAAATGGACAAAATATTTGATTAGATACTTCTCCAGATATATTTCTTTAAACAAAATGTGCAAGTGGCCAATATATGAAGGTGTTCAACATCAGTAGCCATCATGGAAATGCAAGTGAAAACCACAATGAGATATCATTTCATACCCACTATGATGGTTAAAATTAGATGTTGACAAGTGTTGGCAAGGATGTGGAAAGATCAGAAGCAACCCTAGTATGCTGCTTGTAGTAACATTAAATGGTATGGCTTCTTTGGAAAACAGTCTGGCACTTTCTTAAAATGCTAAAGATGTGCATTACTGAAGTGGCCTTGTTTGAGGAAATTTACTAGGTTTGTTGTCTCACACTAAGGAAAGCAAAGATGCAGATGCAAGAGGTGTGGGTTTAGGAGCAGAAAGTTGAGTAGGTTAAAAAAGAGAAAATCCCCCCCTTGCAGGGCGAGGGGCATTCCAAATGGGTCTCCCCCTTTGCAGAGGGATGAGGTTGGTTTCATAGAGGGGCTTGAGGAGGTGGTGTCTGATTTACGTAGGGCCCAGAGGATTGGCTGGACCAGGTGTGCTATTTACATAGCCTGCAAAGAGGCTGGCTATCCCACTCTAATCTTTAATGTGGATGTGGTCTCCACCTGGCCGGCACCATAACACCTGCGCACGTGGCAACAAGGAGAAGGGAAGAGAACCTCCACGTTGGATATACTGGCTTCTGGCATAACTGCTGACATTCAACTATGCAAGCTTCCAGCTTGCTTACCTATGCTTGCAGCTTGATTTTTCAGGCTGCGTTTTGTTAGAAAATAAATGGTTTGGGGGCTGCTTTCTTAAGAGAAAATTCCACCGAGAACTTTTACTAACCACCTAAATTCCTTATTAACTCCTATATCATCACCATATGAACCAGTAATTTTATTCCTACTTAAATACACAGGAGAAATGAGAACATGTTTACTAAAATTGGCACACAAATGTTCGTAACCTTGTAACCAAAAGTACATAACAACCATAATGTCTAGCTGGTGAATGGATAAACAAAAGGTGGGATATCATACAATAGAATACTATTTGGAAATGAAAAGGAATTAAGTGCTAAGACTTCAGCATGGACGAACCTTAAACACGATGCTAAGTGAAAGAAGCCAGTCGGGAAAGAACACACGTTGTGTGACTCAGTTTAAATGAAATGAATGAGCAAATGTGTTGAGACAGGAAGTAGACTAGTAGTTGCCTGAAGGCTGGTGGATTAGGCTAAAATGGGAAGTGACTGCTTATGTTTCTTCTTTGTCTTGATTGCACAACTCTGGCTATAGAAAAAAACAGGTGATCGTATGCTCAGGTGGGTGAGTTGTGCAGTATGTGAATTACATCATAGTAAATCTAATATATCCTGTAATTCCTTGAAGGATTAAAAATGTCTTATTTTCGGCCAGGCGTGGTGGCTCACACCTGTAATCCCAGCACTTTGGGAGGCCAAGGTGGGCGGATCACAAGGTCAGGAGATCGAGACCATCCTGGCTAACACGGTGAAACCCCGTCTCTACTAAAAAATACAAAATACTAGCCGGGCGCGGTGGCGGGCATCTGTAGTCCCAGCTACTCGGGAGGCTGAGGCAGGAGAATGGCGTGAACCCGGCAGGCGGAGCTTGCAGTGAGCTGAGATCCGGCCACTGCACTCCAGCCTGGGCGGCAGTGTGAGACTCTGTCTCAAAAAAACAAAAGTCTTATATCCTGTGTGGATGGTTCCATGCAATGAATAAGTTGGAAATGATACCATATTGTAATTATTCCACAGATACAACAACAAAACCTACAGAGTGGATGATATTGATTGGAAGCAGAATCCTGAAGACACATTTAACAGATCAGATGGCAGCAAAATCACCTATATAGACTACTACAGGCAGGTATGAAACTGTATTTCTTTAAGTATATTTAAATTGTAAACCTTCATGTATTTCAGTTTGTCTTATTTAGAGACTTGAACATATTTGTCATATAAACATACGTATTTTCCTTTTAGAGGATTATAGCTTGACTGATCTATAATCCACGCATCCAAGTGCCTTGTATAGAGGATAATGTCACATAACTGGAATGGTGCCAGTGTGACCCCTTCTTTCCCTTCTTCCAGTCTTAAAAGTGGCTACTATCATACTCTTTTTTTATTTTTTATTTTTTGAGTTGTAGTCTCGTTCCGTCTCCCAGGCTGGAGTGCAGTGGCATGATCTCTGCTCACTGCCGCCTCCACCTCCCAGGTTCGAGCAATTTTCCTGCCTCAGCCTCCCGAGTAGCTGGGACTACAGGCGCCTGCCACCACGCCCGGCTAATTTTTGTATTTTTAGTAGAGATGGGGTTTCACCGTATCAGTCAGACTGGCCTTGAACTCCTGACCTCAGTGATCCATCTGCCTCGGCCTCCCAAATTGGGTGAAATGAAGAGTAATGCAAAAAAGAACTGAGTCTCAGTAATGACTACGATTGCTGTTCCCTTTCCAGACTGCTCGTTCTTTCTATATTGAGAGAATAGGAAACACCAAGCATGTAAGGTGCTTGGCACATAGTAACCTCCGTATTATGTCTAGCCAATTAATATTCTGGACACTTGCTCATGGCATTTGTGGGTACACAACGTGAACCTGTCCTGCTGATTCCTCAGTTGTGCTACATGACAGGTACTGATGGCTTACAGCCCTTCTTTAAACTGTCCTCTTGACAGTTTTCAGTATGCTTTGGGAGTTTTCAAGGCAAGCCTGGTGAGAACTACAGATCCTGTCTCACCCACTCTCATGTACAATGTTAGAGTAGCTTGACGATTCCAGTGTCATGTTTCATGGGAGTCCTGTCTTTGGCCAAGTATGCTCACAAGAAAAGATCCCTGGCATATCAAAGGTAAGAGAATTTTGAGAGTATTCATAGTACATTATTAAACTTAGAGAAGCTATATCACCAGCACGCCTGTGGCCCTTCATTTGTAGTCTCACATATGTACTTGTGAACCTGTGTGTGTGTGATGTTTCTGAGGTTTCACTGGTGGTCATGCTGGTCTCTTGTTTGTTGAGCAGCAACATAAAGAAATTGTCACTGTGAAGAAACAGCCACTTTTGGTCAGCCAGGGCAGATGGAAAAAGGGCCTAACGGGTACACAACGTGAGCCTATCCTGCTGATTCCTCAGCTGTGCTCCATGACAGGTACTGATGGCTTACAGCCCCTCTTTAAAGTCAGATATAACTTTGACTTAGTGCAGGCTTTTCAGGGAATTCGAAGTGTGTCTCCTTGGTAAGGTAGTAGGTTCTTCCAGCTATTATAATTTAGTCCTCACATAAATTCATGCTTGTTCAGATGTATCTTTTGGATTTTTTTAAAGGTCTAACAGATGAAATACGTAAAGATTATAGCACTATGAAAGAATTGGCTAAACATACAAGACTGAGTCCAAGAAGAAGGCATCACACATTAAAAGAATTCATCAATACTATACAAGAGTAAGTGCTGCTTTTCTGGCTGAGTGTTTGTGTGTGCATGTGCCATAGTGTTGCAATGAAGCTGATGGCATCTCAACCCTGGCGTCTCAGTTTCTTCTATTAGCAAGTGACAATGGGAGGAATTTTGTTGTTGTTGGGACACGACTCTAGCTTTTCTGTCATTGCAGTTAGGAGGCTAGGTGGGGAAGAATGAAATCGAAAGGCTCTATGTACCTTTATGAACATGAGAGCAAAAACTAGATGTCAGAGTTTCACGGAAGGTACTGCCGCATCTCAGTGCTGCGGACAGGTGATCATGAACCTTGGAATAGAAGGAAATTGCCTTGCACAAATGGCTAACTGCTTTTGGTTACCTTACTTGGTTTGATCATCTTGGCAATATTTTAATTTTCAGTAATAAAAAAGTACGAGACTTACTTCAACTCTGGGATTTGAAATTTGATACCAACTTTTTGTCCGTCTCAGGAAGAGTTTTGAAAAATGCAAACATCGTGCAAGGCAGAAGAATGGTAAGACAGTTTCAAAATCATCATGTCATAGTTGGGTCAAATGAAGAGGAATGCAAAAAGGAACTGAGTCTCAGTAATGACTACGATTGCTGTTCCCTTTTTAGACTGCTCATATTTTCTATGTCGACAGAATAAGAAACACTAAGAATGCATGTAAAGTGCTTGGCACATAGCTCTGTATTATGTCTGTCTAATTAATATTCTGGACATTTGTTCATGGCATTTAGAAGATCCATTTTTCAAATATATCCTGAAGAGTCAAGTACCTAGAATCAAAGTAATTCACTAACCTATGTAAAAACAAAACAAAACAAAACAAAAACAAAAACAAAAAACTTTATTTAAATTTTGTTATCTTTCAGTTTTTGTGGGTACATAGTAGGTATGTATATGTATGGGTTATATGTGGTATTTTGATACAGGTATGCAGTACATAATCACATCAGGGTAAGTGGGATATTTGTCCCCTCAAGCATTTGTCCTTCGTGTTACAAACAATCCAATTATATTCCTTTAGTTATTTTAAAATGCACAATTAAATTATTTTTGACTTTAGTCACCCTTTTGTACTAGCAGATACTAGGTCTTACTCATTTCTTCTATTTTTTGTACCCATTAACCATCGCCACGTTCCCCTCCAACCTCCCACTACCCTTCCCAGACTCTGTAACCATCCTACTCTATCTCCATGAGTTCAATTGTTTTGATTTTTTTTTTTTTTTTTTTTGAGACAGAATCTCGCTCTGTCACCCTTGCTGGAGTGCAGTGGTGTGTTCTCAGCTCACTGCAAGCTCCGCCTCCCGGGTTCACGCCATTCTCCTGCCTTAGCCTCCCTAGAAGCTGGGACTACAGGCACCCACCACCACGCCCGGCTAATTTTTTGTATTTTTAGTAGAGACAGAGTTTCACCATGTTAGCCAGGATGGTCTTGATCTCCTGACCTCGTGATCCGTCCGCCTCGGCCTCCCTAAGTGTTGGGATTACAGGCGTGATCAATTCAAGCCATTTTAATTTTTTGATTTTTTTAGATCCCACAAATAAGTAAGAATATGCAAAGTTCATTTTTCTGTGGCTGGCTAATTCCATTTAACACAATGACCTCCAGTTCCAGTCTTGTTGCAAATGACAGGGTCTCATTGTTTTTTGTGGCTCAATAGTACTCCATTGTGTATATGTATCACATTTTCCTTATCCATTTATCCGTTAGACATTTAGGTTTCTTCCAAATCTGGATTATTGTGAACAGTGCTGCAATAAACATGGAAGTACAGATATCTCTTCAATATCCTAATTTCCTTTATTTTGGCTATATGCCTAAGAGTAGGATTGCTGGATCACATGTTAGCTCTGTTTTTAGTGTTTTGAGGAACCTCCAAACTGTTCTCCACAGTGGTTATAGTAATTGACATTTCTACCAACTGCATATAAGGGCTCCCTTTTCTCCACATCCTTACCAACATTTGTTATTGCGTGTCCTGCATAAAAGCCATTTTAACTGGGGCGAGATGATACTTCATTGTAGTTTTGACTTGCATTTCTCTGATCATTGATATCAGCACTTTTTAATATGCCTGTTTGCTATTTGTATGTCTTCAGAAATGTCTATTCAAATCTTTTGTCCATTCTTAATTGGATTATTTTTCCCCTATAAAGTCATTTGCTTTCCTTAGATTTTGGTTATTAATCCCTTGTCAGACGGGTAGTTTGCAAATATTTTCTCCCATTCTGGGATTTGTCTCTTTACGTTGTTTCCTTTGCTACATAGAAGCTTTTTAACTTGATGTGATCCCACGTATCCGTTTTTGCTTTAGTTACCTGTGCTTGTGCGGTATTGCTCAAGAAACCTTTGCTCACTCTAGTGTCCTGGAGAGTTTCCCCAATGTTTTCTTGTAGTGGTTTCATAGTTTGAGGTCTTGGATTTACGTCTTCAAGCCATTTTAATTTTTTTAATATAAGGTGAGAGATAGGGATCTAGTTTCATTCTTCTGCATATGGATATACAGAAGAGACTGTCCTTTCCCCAGTGTATGTTCTTGGCTCCTTTGTCGAAAATGAGTTCACATTAGATGTATGGATTTATTTTTGGGTTCTCTATTTCTGATCCACTGGTCTATTTGTCTGTTTTTATGCCAGTACCAGGCCATTTTGGTTACTATAGCTCTGTAGTATAATTTGAAGTCAGGTAATGTGATTCTTCTAGTTTTGTTCTTTTTACTTAGGATAGCTTATGCAATTCTGGGTCTTTTGGTTTTAAAATAAGTTTTAGGATAGTTTTTTGTTTCTATAAAGAATGTCCTTGGTATTTTGATAGGGATTGCTTTGGATAGTATGGTCATCTTAATGATGTTGATTCTTCTAATTCACGACCCTGGAATACCTTCATTTTTGTGTGTGGCCTCTTCGATTTCTTGCATCAGTGTTTTGTAGTTTTCATTGTAGAGCTCTTTCACTAATTTGGTTAGGTTAATTCCTAGGTATTTTATTTGTATCTATGGTAAATGGGATTCCTTTTCAGATTGTTCACTGTTCGCATGTAGAAATGCTACTGATTTTGTATGTTGAGTTTTGTATCCTGCAACTTTACTAAATTTATCAGTTCTATGTGTGTGTGTTGTTTTTTTTTGAGTCTTCAGATTTTTCCAAATCTGGTTCATAAGATCATATCTTTGCAATTTGAATTACCTTAATCTTTTGTCTGATGGCTCTAGGACTTCAGTACTATGTTGAATAACAATGGTGACGGGGCATCCTTGTTGTGTTCCAGATCTTGGAGAAAAGGCTTTCGGTTTTTTCCCATTCAGTATGATACTAGCTGCGGGTCTGATGTATATGGCTTTCATTATATTGAAATATGTTCATTCTATACCCAGTTTTTGAGAGTTTTTAATCATGAAGGGATATTGAATTTTAATAAATGCTGCTCAGCATAGGTTGAAATGATCATATGAGTTTGTCCTTCATGCTGTGGATGTATCGCATTGATTTGCCTACATAGAACCATCCTTGAATCCCTGGGATAAATCCCACTTGGTCATGATGAACTTTTTTAGTGTGTTAGTAAATTTGGTTTGCTAGTATTTTGTTGAGGATTTTTTGTATCTGTGTTCATCAGGGCTATTGGCCTGTAGTTTTCTTTTTTTGATGTGTCTTTGGTTTTAGTAATACTTCATGAAATGACGTGGAAGCATTCCCTCCTCTATTTTTCAGCATAGGAGTAGGATTGGTATTAGTTCTTTAAATGTTCTGCAGAATTCAGCAGTGAAGCCATCAGGTCCTGGGCTTTTCTTTGGGAGACTTATTACGTCTTTGATCTTATTACTTGTTCTTGGTCTGTTCAGGTTTTGAATTTCTTCATGGTTTGATCTTGGTAGGTTGTATATGTCTAGGAATTTTTCCATTTCTTCTAGATTTTCCAATTTACTGACATACAGTTGCTCATAGTAGCCAGGAGTGATCCTTTACATTTCTGCAATATTGGTTGTAATGTCTCCCTTTTCTTTTCCTTTTTTTTTTTTTTTTTTTTTCTCTCCTTTTTGAAATGGTGTCTCACTGTGTCACCCAGGCTGGAGTGTAGTGGGGGTGATTCTGGCTCACAGCAGCCTCCACCTCCCTGGTTCAGGCAATTCTTGTGCGTCAGTCTTCTGAGTCCCAGCACCTGGGATTTTGCCATGTTGGCCAGGTTGGTCTTGAACTCATGACCTCAAGTAATCTGCCTGTCTCAGCCTCCCAAAGTGCTGGGATTACATGTGTGAGACACCACATCTGGCCTTGCATTTCTAATTCTTTAAGATGCATCATTGGGTGGTTTGAAGTTTTGCTCTTTTGATGTAGGCACTTATAGCTATAAACTTCCCTCTTAGTACTGCTTTCACTGTATTCCATAGGTTTTGGTATGTCATGGTTTCATTATCATTTGTTTCAAGAAAAGTCAATTTCCTTATGACCCATGACCGGTGGTCATTCAGGAGCATATCGTTTAGTTTTCATGTGTTTGTATAGTTTCCAAAATGCCTCTTGTTTTTTATTTCTAGTTTTATTTCACTGTGATCAGAGAAGATGCTTTATGTTTGTCTTTTGAATGTTTTAAGACTTCTTTTGTAACCTAATATATGGTCTATCTTTGAATGATCCATGTACTGAGGAAAAGAATGTTCATCATGCGGCTGTTGGCTGAAACGTTCTGTAACTATGATGTCCCTCTAGTGTGTAGTGCAGATTAAGGTCAACGTTTCCTTTTTTTTCTGTCTGAAAGATCTGTCCAGTGCTGAAAGTGGGGTGTTAAAGTCTCCAACTATTATCATATTGGGGCCTCTCTCTCTTTAGCTCTAATACTTGTTTTATATATCTGGGTTCTCCAGGGTTGGGTGCATATGTATTTACAATTGTCATATCCTCTTGCTGAATTGACCGTTTTATTGTTACATAGTGACCTTCTTTGTGTCATAGTTTTTGTCTTGAAATCTATTTTGTCTAAGTATAGCTATTCCTGTTTTTTCTTTTTTTGTGCTTTTTCATGCCTTTATTTTCAGTCTATGTGAGTCTTTATAGGTTAAGTGTTTTGCAGGCAGATCTTTTTTTTTAATTAATTCAGTCACTCTTTCAATTAGAGTTTAGTCCATGTACATTCAATGTTATTGAGAAGTAAGGATTTACTCCTGCCATTTTGTTATGTGTTTTCTGGTTTTATGGTCTCTTCTTCCTCCTTTATTTCCTGCCTGCCTTTTAGTGAAGGTGATTTTCTCTAGTTTGATATAACTTGTTTGTTTTGTGTATCCATTGCATATTTTTGAAGTTCCCGTAAGGCTTGCAAATCCTGTCTTATAACCCCTTCTTTTAAGGTGCTGACAACACTGCTTGCATAAGCAAACAAGCAAAAAGAAAATGAATAAACTCTATTTTAAATTTGTCCTTTGCTTTTTAAAACATTTTTCTTTTTTTAAAAAATTTTATTTCAATAGGTTTTTGTGGAACAGGTAGTTACATGGATAAGTTCTAGTGGT